ATATTAAGCATCCCTTTCAGCCTTCAGTTACCTCTGAATATGACAGCCAAAATACTAATAAATGTTGAACAGAACAGACCTAAAAATAGAGTGCTGGCATACCATTTGCTCCATTGTGACAATTAAGATCCACTATATACACTAGGAACAAAATAAATGAATGAATGTGTGATCCGTTTCCTTTGGGCCATGCCTGTTCAGTCAGCCATGAAGGTTTCTACTTATGCTCTCATCCACCCCACCTTTCTCCATCCCAGAAACCCCGAGGATGTCAGGGTTCGGCCAGTTTTCAATATTCAACCTAAGTGAAGTGCCTTCTGCCAGCATACCACATGGATCTTCCAGTTTAGTAATACAATAAAACAGAAAGGAGACTGGCATGTCAGAACTCACAGAATCCTTGTTACGTCCTAGTGACCTTTCCCATCAGGTCCGGGTGCTCTGTCTGCTAAATGATCAGAAGGTTTTTTCCAGAGCTGATGCAAGCTCATCAGCCAGTGTGCTGCCTTCTTTGAAACTGGGTCCGTGCCTCCATTGTGCACAGGCATGCATGCCAGGCAGTCACGGGCTTCACTCAAACTGAGAAACCCTCGGGGCCGGGTGTGCCGGGCAGAGCAACCCAGCTGATCACCACAACCTCGGAATGCAGGTTTTAGGACTGTGTATGTCCACTCCTTCTAAGAGCGTCTCCCACTCAGAGTGGCTGGTGGCTGTTTATGGGACTTGGCGTCAGTGCGAATATGTTCCCACATCTCAGCACAGAAGCATCTTGTTTTCTGATCACTTCAGAAACTGTCTAACTCCATGGTCATGAGGGAAACATTTTTGTATTAGAGCAAAGATATGTGTGCCTTTCTTTGCTAAAAAGATTGTTTTTCTTTCTGGAGAGGGTTGAGTCCCATATAAAATCTATGATAATAGCCTTTTTAAAGTGGGTTTTTCTGTACTTCTTGAAGCTAGAAAGAACCAGAAGGAAAGAAAGGAGCATCTGTTGTCAGAACCTCACTGGTCCCGGTGACACCGAAGGAAACGGCTGAGTTGAACCTCGGTGATCGCTGCTGGTCTCTGAAGCTCCATCAGTTCTCTTTGTGTGCAGCACCCAGTCTGGTTTCCATGGGAGAGAGGTTAGCGATGTTTACTATGTTTAAGGGCTTATGAGTAGGAAACTTAATCTTATACCTGAGTTTCTGAAACCTTGCTGTGCCTATGAGTCATCTGGGGATCTGGTTAAAATATAGATTCTGCCTCCGGAGGCCTGGGTGGGGCCTGAGGTTCAGCATTTCTGCAGCTGCTGAGGGACGTGGTGCTGCTGGTCTGAGGACAAAACTTGGAATGCAAGGCTTTCAGCCACCGAGCTAAATATTAAAACACTGAGAGAGAGAGATGGGTATAAATACATATATAAAGATGCTGGAGATGAATATATTCAGAACAGTGATTGTCAGGCAAACTGTATGTAGTAAATCCTAAATGAATCTATCTCAATTCATCTGTTAACTCCCCCTCCACTTTTGCTTTTCTAATAATAATGTTTAAACCATGTGATCTGTATTTGGGGTTCTTTTGTAACTTTGCGTGTATGTACTCTTGTGTGGCTTCATGTTTCGAAGAAACCTTTCTGTTGTGGCAGGAACATCAGAGGTGGCCTCCTCCTCAGGTCCAGCTGGATGTCCCTGAGAAGGCAGTCAGGGACACAGTCCACTTGTCTGCAGCTGGAAAGAGACTCTAAACACAGAAATCCCCCTCCATTTTTCTTCTTTTCTTCCTTGTCCCTTTCTCTCTCCCTTCCTTTTCCCTACTGTACTTTTTCACCTTAATCATTCACCTCTTTCTTCTTTTCGATCCTATGAATAATTAATTACCCAGTGTACCAGGGCCACAGTGGCATACTGTGGCTCCCTCTGGTGGTTCACTGAAAAGACAGCAAGACACAATCCCTACCCTCACAGCGTTCCCCCTCGTAGGAGATAGAGACAATACAGAGAGAGAATGGTGCAGTCGTAGAATTGGAGCCTCTTCTCCTCCAAGCTGCACTGGTAATAGGAGACTTGGTTCTCCTACATGTGGGAGGAGGATGGGTTGAATTTTTTATCAGTCTGGTTCTTTTCGCTCCAGTTCTGTCTTAATCTTTGTATCCTTGATGTATCATTATCTGGAAAAGATGTTTACCAGTGAATAACTTTTAGAAAGAATATATGTGAATTTGTTTGCCAAGGCCAAGACTTAGTGGTCCATTAGCAGAAGACCAGTCAGAGAGTCTACAGAGAATCTTTAGAAACAGCTAAGCCTGTGTCTCTACATAAACAATGTCTGTAAACCAAGGCACTACTGAGAACCAAGTCAGCCTTTTTCAAACTGTGTTCTTTCAAAAGTACCTTCAAAGGGGTTTTCTAGGTTTGGATATTGTGCATTCAGTTGTATGGGCAGTTTTACATTTGCATTGCTAATGGACCTCTTTCTGAATGTGTTTGACATTTTGCTTGGCTTTGAAAGGACTTTTCTGCTGCTGCTTTTTCTTCCCTGAAGCTGCCTTGGGCTAATTAACCTATTCCCTTACTGGCTGGGCCTACTATATGCAAATGTTCTCATTCCAGATTCTGACACACCACTCTTGCGAGAACATACTTAATGAAATCCTGTGGGGTTGTATTGGATCAGTGTTAACCTTGGAGCCAGCAGGGGGCGTATGAACCGGTTGGCTTTAAGTAGATATCCCATGTAACTTTTCTTTGCTCTTTGATATGGGAATGTGGGAGCTCATACAGTTCTCTTTCTTAAGAGTGACTCTTGAAATCTATAGATAAAAGATCATTATCAGTACTTTTTGAGCAACCAGAAAGGGCAACTGTTTTTGATGCTTTGTAGTTTAATTTTATTCTGTTGTTTTGAAAATAGTGCTGTCATTTTAATTGATTTGCAAGTACTGGGTGTAAATTATGTGGTGCATTTTTATAAGAGAAGACTATGCAGAATATAGTTACCTAGGACTTTAAAAAGCTGTATAGGTCGGGAGGGTAAATAATTGACATTGCTCTTTTAACACAGATATGTCTTAAGCATTACTATTTTAGTCCTTTTGTTTTTTGTTTCTGTCCCAGTCTTTAAAGTGCCTTTCATCGTCTGATAAACCCTATTATTATTGAAATGTCCTTCGATTTTGAGACACCAAACAGCGCCTTCAGTATATGCCTGATTATAGTCATTGCGGCTGGGGAACTTCATCGTGTTTCTGTACTTTCGTCACGATGTCACTAGTGATATTAAAGAAAAACCAATGAGGACCACTAAATCTCTGACAAAAAAAATAGAGATTCGGGTGGGGAGTGTAAACTGTATAGGAGAGAAGTGGGATGCGCTGATGCTGGGAGAGGAGTGGTGGGGTGACCAAGGGAGAAACGTGGCTGTTGTAATAGGGACATGGCTGTTGCTTAAGGTAGACAAGGATCAGATGGCTGTAGGCTGCTGCCTTACTGTGTTTGTTTTAAAATCAGGTCGTAGAAAAGAGGGTCTGGGTAGAAGGACCTCTGGGTAGAAGGACCGCTGAAACCCCAGGGCCTGTAATTCCTACAGCCCGCCCTCACTGCCTCCAAGGACCCAGCAAGCGGCACTGCGCATGTCTGCAGCCGCAACTTGCCTGGGGAGCTCCTATCTGCCACTAGTTAGGCTGGTTCCCGTAGGTCCCACCGATGTTCGGCCTCTGGCTAGGTGTGCATCTGTTTGCCCACACAGTCGTAACTTGGAATCCAGCCATTTCTGAGAGACTGAGATATGCGTCCATGGTAGGCTGGCTCTTTCCAAGGAGAAAGGTGGCAGGGGTGGTGTGGGGTGAAGAGGAAATTCAAAGACCACTTGGAAAGAGTCAGGAATGAAGCGAGTGTGTAAACATCACTAAGAAAACCTTCAATGCATCTGCCTAATTATCACATTTTTAAAATCCTCACCAGAAAGTATGTTTGTTGGTTTTAGAGAGAAAGGAAGGGTAAAAGAGAGAGAGACATCTGTGTGAGAGAGAAGCATCAATTGGCTGCCGCCTGTATGCGCCCCAACCAGGGATCAAACCTGCAGCCCAGGTATGTGCCCTGACCGGGGATTGAACCTGCAACCTTTTGGTGCACAGGACAATGCTTCAACCAAGTGAGCCACCCTGCCAGGGCCCTATTACCACATTTTTAAAAATATTGTAACCATATTCATTTTTTAACTACCTCAACAGACTTCTTTGGGATTTCGGTTTACCCTATGAATAGCTGTACTGGGAATTCTTTGGAAACTTGTAGAGAAGAGGATTATTCTGGCTGCCCCTGCTCTGTTGGCATGTGCATATTGTGTGTGTGTGTGTGTGTGTGTGTGTGTGTGAGAGAGAGAGAGAGAGAGAGAGAGAGAGAGAGAGAGAGAATGAGAGAGAGAAGGGAGAATTGCTGCAAAGTTAGGATGGGCCCAGGGTCAGGTGGAATCTTTGAGCAGTGGCTTTGCTAGACGGGGGTGCAGAGATGATGTGCAAAGTAGTCAGTTCAGGGTCGTCGCTCCTGACCTCCTCCCGGGGCCCGGCTCTGAGGGCAGGGCAGGGGTGACCTTTGCTGATGCCTTCCTCCCTGTGGCTTCATTTGATTTGCCAGCAAGGTAAAGAAGAGGTGAGGAGTGGGACCAGCACTTCTGAAAAGGAAACTTAAGAAACACATTGTCTAACCGTCTAATAAGAAAAGAGAGAAAAAGGAGAAAATGCATTCAGAAACATGTCTTAGAAGAGTTGTTAACTTCACAAAAAGGCATCTGCTTTAAGTTTTGACTTGCTTGGCATTGTAAATAATCTTCTTGATATGCTGGCCTGTTTTAATGCTGGGTCTAGAATCAGGTTTTCAGAAATCACAGTGAAGCCAAAGCCTAGTCTTAGTCTTGCCAAGGATGTCCTTTTCCAGTGCTCATGTCTTGATTTCTGTCCCCTCTTTTCCTTTCTCTTCCCTTTCCTTTTCCCCTTGTCACTACCCTCTTCCTTTTCCCAGATTCCAGAGCTGCAGCTGGCGGATCGCACCCACGGGGAGATGATTCCTCATGAAGAGCCTGGATCCCCCACAGAAATCAAATGTGACTTTCCGTTTATCAGACTAAAATCAGAACCAGCCAGGCAGTGAAACAGTCACCGTGGAGGGGGGACGGCGAAAAATGAAATCCAACCAAGAGCGGAGCAACGAATGCCTGCCTCCCAAGAAGCGCGAGATCCCCGCCACCAGCCGGCCTTCCGAGGAGAAGGCCACGGTCCTGCCCAGCGACAACCACCGGGCCGAGGGCGTGGCATGGCTCCCGGGCAACCCTGGTGGCCGAGGTCTCGGGGGTGGGAGGCAGGGCCCTTCGGGGACCTCGGTGGAGCTTGGTTTACAACAGGGAATAGGTTTACACAAAGCGCTGTCCACGGGGCTGGACTACTCCCCACCCAGCGCGCCCAGGTCTGTGCCAGCGACCACCACGCTGCCCACGGTGTACCCTCCCCCGCAGTCAGGGACTCCGGTGTCGCCTGTGCAGTACACTCACCTGCCGCACACTTTCCAGTTCATTGGGTCCTCCCAGTACAGCGGGCCCTACGCAGGGTTTATCCCTCCGCAGCTGATCTCCCCGACGGCCAGCCCTGCCACCAGTGCGGTGGCCTCTGCCGGGGGTGCCGCTACTCCATCCCAGCGCTCCCAGCTGGAGGCCTATTCCACTCTGCTGGCCAACATGGGCAGTCTGAGCCAAGCCTCAGGACACAAAGCTGAGCAGCAGCAGCAGCAGCAGCACTTAGGCAGGACTCCAGGGCTCATGGCACCAGGGTCCCCACCACCCACCCCGCAGAACCAGTACGTCCACATTGCCAGCTCTCCGCAGAATGCGGGGCGCACAGCCTCTCCTCCGGCCATCCCCGTCCACCTCCACCCCCACCAGACGATGATCCCACACACCATCACCCTGGGTCCCTCCCCCCAGGTCGTAGTGCAATACACAGACTCTGGCAGCCACTTTGTCACTCGGGAGGCCACCAAGAAAGCCGAGAGCAGCAGGCTGCAGCAGGCCATGCAGGCCAAGGAGATCCTGAACGGGGAGATGGAGAAGGGCCGGAGGTATGGGGCTCCCACCTCGGCCGACCTGGGCCTGGTGAAGGCCAGCAGCAAGTCAGCGCCTCACCCCTACGAGTCCAGGCACATGGTTGTCCACCCCAGCCCCGCCGACTATGGCAGCCGTGACTCCGCAGGCGTCCGGGCCTCTGTGATGGTCCTGCCCAACAGCAGCACCCCTGTCTCCGACCTGGAAGCGCAGCAGGCCGCGCACCGTGAGGCCTCCCCCTCCACCCTCAACGACAAAAGTGGCCTGCATCTAGGGAAGCCCGGGCACCGGTCCTACGCACTCTCGCCCCAACAGGCCCTGGGCCCCGACGGCGTGAAGGCCGCCACCGTTGCCACACTGTCACCACACACGGTCATTCAGACCACACATAGCGCTTCGGAGCCACTCCCAGTTGGACTGCCAGCCACAGCCTTCTACGCAGGGACTCAGCCGCCTGTCATTGGCTACCTGAGCGGCCAGCAGCAAGCGATCACCTACGCGGGCAGCCTGCCCCAGCACCTGGTCATCCCGGGTACCCAGCCCCTGCTCATCCCGGTTGGCAGTGCTGATGTGGAGGGGTCCGGGGCAGCCTCTGCGATAGCCACGTCGTCGCCCCAGTTTGCAGCAGTGCCTCACACCTTCGTCACCACCGCCCTTCCCAAGAGCGAGAGCTTCAGCCCAGAGGCCCTGGTCACCCAGGCCGCCTACCCAGCCATGGTGCAGGCGCAGATCCACCTGCCCGTGGTGCAGTCAGTGGCGTCCCCAGCGGCGGCTCCCCCAACGCTGCCCCCCTACTTCATGAAAGGCTCCATCATCCAGTTGGCCAACGGGGAGCTGAAGAAGGTGGAGGACTTGAAAACGGAAGACTTCATCCAGAGCGCAGAGATCAGCAACGACCTGAAGATCGACTCCAGCACCGTGGAGAGGATCGAAGACGGCCACGGCCCGGGCGTCGCTGTGATCCAGTTCGCTGTCGGGGAGCACCGGGCACAGGTAACGTTCGCTGGGCCACACGGGCGGGACACCCCACCACACCCCCACCCATTTCCTGGCAAGATGAACTTCCTCCGGGAGGCAGGACCATCCGGGCTGTGGGGCAAAGGAAGGGTTTTCCCTTCTACCTAGACTCCAGACTCTGAATCCTCTCTAAGAGAAGGACGCAATAACGCCCCCAGACATCTGCTGTTTGTGGTGAACTAACTGCTCTGCATCTAGAGCGAGGCTAGCCAGGTACCATCCTCAGGACAGTTTCTGAAAATCACCACTCAAGCTGTGTTGTTTTTGTCCTGTGATTCAGATAGAGACCTGATTGAGAAAGGCAGCAGCAGCAGCGTTCAAGGCCCCGCTAGAGGCCATTCTGCCCCTTTTTTTCTGTGTGAGGAAGGGGTTTTTTGCTGGTTGGGTAAGGACCTTAGATGCCCAGAGTCACCGCATCTCATACCAACATCTGTGTTTTAAAATGCAGGTTTTATTACTGTTCAGGCAAGGCCAACGGATGAGGAGACAATGGTCCTTGAACTCGTAGCTTCTTACACTCATAGCCCGCGAGAGGGGACATGCTGCAGGGGCGACAGGGGGAAGCCCAGGGTTGGGAGGCAGAGGGAGCACAGGCAGGAGCCTTTCCTGGGGCTCTCGTGGGGAGGAAGGGATGAGAAAGGGGAAGCAGGTTGAGGACTGGCTAGTCTGAATAACTTCAGTGGGCTTGCTCTCTGGTTGTCTGGTGCCTGCTGTGGGGTGACTAGAGCAGGTGGGTGTGGCCCGGAGTCTGAGAGCCTGGTTGGGGAGGCGGCTGGGCCTGTGGGTGGGTGGGTGGTGTGCACATAGAGGGCTCTCTCCCAGGAGAGTGGGTTGCTATCCCTAGGAATTAGCTAACCCTGAGGGGGTAGTCCCTTCAAAGCCAGCAAGCCCCCCAGATGTAGAAGCATCAGCACACAGAAAATAAAAGGCACGGTTAACAAATCCGAGAGGTCGGGCTATGCCAGGGCTCTGCTGGACTCCTTCAGTCCACCCCATTCCAGTCTCTCAAGTCTCTTGCACGCATTGATTCCACAGCCCATTTATATGAAACAGCAGCTGCACTGCCCAGGTCGCTTCAGTCAAACAGGCCAGACCCCGTGGGAGCTTCCCTGGGAATGTTTCTATCAGGGACCTTGAAACTCTCTGTATGATGGTGCCACCTTCAGCTCTGAGTTGAAAAGGGTCAAGGCTTTTAGCTGATAGTTGAGATGTTCTCAGAAAATAAAACAAACCCCCAAAAAACAAATTAGTAAATGGTTTGAATTGTCTTAAGTATATTTTTAAAAGATCAAGTAAGGTGGATGGGAGGCCAGTTTTCCAAGGTGTTCTCTGGGAACTGCCAGTGAATGACCGTGTGTGGGGTCTCACACAGCATCAGGGGGCCTGTCTTCCCAAGGGCTTTCGGCCCCAAACACCCTCCTTTTCTATGGTGGGGCATCACCGTAGGCCTAGACTCTCTGGCAGGGCCTAAGAAGGTTATCTCAAAGTTCTGATTGGAAAAAAGAGCAAAAGCCAAGATTTTTTAAAATGGCATCATTGTTTAGAACTCACTACCCATCTGTAGTTGCTGTTCGCTCCGACCTTCCTTTGTGGATTGGGGTGGGTCCTGGAAGGAAAACGAAATGAGTTCTCTTCAGCACAGTTGTCTTTTAACAGACCCCAGGGAAAGCATGGAGAATAAACAAGAATGAAAAGTAAATGTGTTTTTCCTAGTGCTTTTTTTCATTCTTAAAGCATTAGTGTGCACAGAGGCCGGCACGGAAAGACGTGTGATTTTGAAACGCTACTGGTTCCGGACCAGCATCTCTTTCAACCTGGGCGTAGAGAGCAGCTCTGGCTGCAGGCTGTGTCTCGAGGCCCTGGCAGCCTCTCAGGCCTGAGCTCACAAGCCTCTTCAGGTTTCAGATGGACCTGGCAGGTCTTAGAGTGAAAGCAAGCATCTCTCTGTGCTTTTCCTGCTTGATACTTTGCAGAATGAATGCTTAAGTGATACAGAGATTGGCTTCCAGGCCAAGTCTCATTTCCTTCCTGTAGCCAGACCACTAGTCTCTTTGCTGACAGCCAAGGTGCAAATTAGAAGGTAGAGTATCTGTCACAGCCTGTTCACAGGTCTGTCAGGACGGCCCTGTGTGGTCCAGCTGCGTGCTGGGAAGGGCTCCTGCAAAGAATGGCAAGAGGGCTGTCGTGGAAACAAAGTGTGAGCCCCCAACACAGCCAGCAATTTGTCACTTTACTGAGAAGCCTATCAGAAGCAGGCTGACATCATCACAGCGAAAATACTCCACCAGCTGTGTTTGGCACAAGTGACAGGAGTGGGATCAGTGGAGAATCAGGGAGAGAAGGCAGAGAGAACTGTCGTCTGGATGTAATTCACGTTCCGGGGACGGAGCACCCGCTCTGCATCTCTGTCACCGCGAGAACCTTCTCCCTGGCCTGAAGAATCAGTCCCTGTCTTCCCAACAGGCTAGAAATCACTAACACACCCACAGGGAGATTAGAACTGTGCAAATTGCTTAACTTCATTAGCAGAATCACAAATTTGGTAGGGGAAGTTGTAGCAGCAGAGCTGGCTTTCCCACAGTAGATGGCCTTATGACCCAGGGCATAAATCCTGCGTGGCTGGAGAGCCACCGGGAAGCCTGACCTTACACAACCCTCGGCGGGCATCCCAGTGGAGGCCGAGCTGTGTGCAGAGAGCCCTGAGCCTGGCTGCTGGTCAGCTGCAAGACAAGTTGCTTTTCCTCTCAGAGCTGCCATTTTTCTCATCTCAAAACAAGCAGATGACTCCTTACACCTGGTAACACCGTGGGCCTCCTTATTTTGTCATCCTTTGCTGTCCTTCCTGCCTTGCAGAGCATCTCTTGTGAAATTCGCCTGCATCGGCTACCAAAACTGGGGGGAGGGGGCATAAAGGGAACCTCTGTTGGCCTCGTGCTAGAGGCCAACACGTAGACCTGGTGGGAACTAAAGACAGTCTCCATAAAACTGAGAGGTGTTTTTTTTGTTGTTGTTTTGGTGATTATTTTTAAGGAGCTGAATTTCTGATTATTATTGTAGAAAGATGCCTCCAAGGGTGCTTCCAGCTGAAGCCCCAGACGAGGCAGTATAGGAGAAAAATACTTCCACATATTCATCACCATCCCTGGGACCATGTCATACTCAACACGGCATTTCTGTGCAACCGAGTTCCCCCACCCCAGGAGCTGTGGGAAATGAAAAGGATTCCAGGGGCTGTTCCTTACAACCCTGTGCTCCACACCAAGCCTCTTTGGGCCACACTGCTGTCTTCTTCCTCTTCCGGTGAAGGACAGGTGGCATGTTCCACCCCAGGTGAGAGAGTCGCTGCTTCTACGGCACCTTCCTCTCAGCCTTGGTGACTCTAGTGCACATTTCCAAGGGACAGTAGAATTCACATCCCTTGGGGCCTCACTCCCAAATACAATCCACTTAATAATCTCTAAGTTTGAGTTCCTAAGTCTGTGGCGGATCCCAGAAGGATCCCGGGCAATAGCATGAACGGGAGGATGAATACAACTCAGTAAGAGCTTGTGGCATCGCCCGCTGGGGCGGGAAACTGGTCTGCTGGTAGGAAAATGCGGGACTGGGAGCCAAAAAGACATCGGTCTGAATCTGTCCTCCACTGCTCCGCTCCGTAGCACTGGGCCCTCATACAAACCATTTACAAATTACTACACTAATAATTTATCATGCAAATTACAATCTCTAAGCCTTCCTGGTTACATAGTGGAAATAATGGGGACTGCTGTAAGAATTAAAGAAAATACATTCAAAGGAACCAGCACAATATGTAGCACATAGTAGCCCTCAACAGAGTGAGGTTCCCTTTCCTGCTTTACTTAGGTGACTTTGGCCCTGAGAATGGACATGGTTAGCTTCTGAACAATAAATAAAAGACTCTGTGCTCCAAAAAGAGTTTATGGAAGGGGAGACAGTTTAGAAAAGCCTGGAAAGAAGGCCGGACTTGTCCAGCCAGTGCAGCGAGCCGTCTCCCCTCCTGCTTTTCCGTGGCGGATCCCCATGAATGGCCCAGGAGCACCCAAACGGCATGACGTACACATGTGTGGTTTTCCGAGCATGTGCTGCACTGGAGGGATGCCTCAGTGGCCCAGCCGTCCACGTCAATAAGAGGAGCCAGGCAGAGGCAGGGGCTTATGGCCCCTCCTGCAGTGTGGCCACTAGGAGGGTCCCAGCCAGGAAGGCCCCACCCAGGGGGCCTTCAGCTCCCCTATCTGGGAGAAGTCTCCCGCCCCTGTGTCACATGCTCCCCAGGCCTCAACTTTTCTGAAGAGGACACAGAATTGGCTCAGAAGAATTGTAGTAAATTTTATTTGCAAAGTGCTCCGGGCTGACACTTTTCTTGGACTGCTTCTTTCCTAACTGCTGAGCTCCTTATGTTCGTAGGACTGTCTGTCGCTTCCTAGATCCTGCTGGGGTGATTGCTTCCCTTTACCGCCTTGGTGACTGCTTAATATTCAGTGCCATCTCCTCCTCCCAGCTCTGTGGGGGGTGGGGGGGAGAGGTCTGTGCATTCACTCATACAGCACGTTATAATGATGTGCTTACCGCACGTTTACCCATGGCTTTTCTTTCATTCCACTATTTTTTAATTTGACTGCTGTATTCTGTGAGTCATCAGTGGCAGCATTATGCAGTTAATGGATTAGCTGGTGCCTAAAAATAGCCAAAGCCCTCATGCAAGCAGCACATAAGCCTGTATAGTCCCTTAGCAGCCAAGGCAGAGCGACGTGCCAATGTCTCACACGCGGAGCCTGGTAGAAACGAACCTTAATGGATCAAAAAAGAGGTAGTAGCCCTGGCCAGGTGGCTCAGTTGTTTGGAACATTGTCCCATACACCAAATGGTTGTGGGTTCAATTCCCGGTCAGGGTACGCACACACCTAGGTTGTGGGTGCATATAGGGAGCAACCAATTGTAATTCCTCTCTCTCTCCCTGC